GCATCGGGGGGAAGAGGAGGGTGTTTTCCTATAGAAGGAGCTTGAATGTTTTGTTGAAGTCGGGTACGTTCGTAGAAAATCCGTAGAAAGAAGGTTTTTTGTGGTTTTTTTCTGCCGCGTAATGTTTGGGTAAGCCCTCAAGAGAGCTCTAAAAAGGAGCCGTGGAGCTTCAGGTGTGTCACTGAGCAAAACAAGGCGAGTTTTGTGTTCCTGGTAGTCCCAAGGCTGGGCGGGCAGGCGTGGCTTTCCGCTAAAAATAGCGCGTGGCTAAATTTTGGCACCTGAGGAACACTCAAAGTGGCAGCGCGTTTGTATTTCTGCAGTTAAAACTAGCGCAAGCGTTAAGATGTTCGGCTGGACGCTGTTATTTTTAGGTCTCTGAGGTTTTGTCATAAACATACTCAAAATTGTGATAAATCCCTGGAGTGGGAGGCTCAGAGGCTCAGTTTTGAGAAAAACGAGGATTGCTTTAAAAAAATAATCCCGTGCAGAAGCAAAAATGCCACCCGTTAAGAGATCACTGCATCCTAAATGAAGAAGAAGCTTAGTCTTGGAGCTCGTCATACAGAAAGACTAAATCTGAGACTTAAGCTTAAAATGCGTTTTTGCTCGGTGTTTTGAAACATACTCCGCCGTTGCAACAGCTTTCCGGCTCTGCCTTCCTTGTGTCTCTGCTGCTCTCCTTCCCCCGACGGACTCTGGATTCCTTAATGCTGGGAGTGGGTGACCTTGATGCCATCACTGAACTGTGATTTCTTAAAGACACTGATTAACGCAACAAGTATTTTAGCTGTTAAAGGCAGATCCATAAACACTAATTTCCGAGTGTTAGAAAGTTAAAGCTTGATAAGCTTTATAATAAATACAAGCTTAATTATCACGATGCGTGCTTTATCCCAGTGGATTTTCCCAGCTTAGTTATTTGAAAGGTTTTTTGTTTCTCAGGAACTTAATTTCTGCTGGATTTGTTTTGGTTTGGATTTGGATTTTTTTTTTTTACTGTCTCTATTAGAAACCTGATTTAACACTTTTATTTTATTTCTGCTGAGTCCTGGTGTTGAGAGCTGAAAAGGGAATCTGCGAATCGGAGGAAGCAGTTATTTCTTTGTGGTTTGAATGTGTAATATGTTGGGTTGTAGCAATAAAAGCTCTTTTTTTGCAATTGATGTTGTAGCATGGGAAGTAGTGGACAGCTGCTAGCTTAACTGAGACCCTGCTGACCACTTCTCGGAATCCCCCACTGAGACCCTGTGTTATGGGAGAGATTTTAACTTCTAAATTTTGGCAGGAGTTTGCAGTTCTATTACCAGGATAAGCTGCAGAAACAGTTATTTAACTTGAATCGTTCTGGATCCCCGTTGATTTTTTTGTGACTTTGAGTTTGAGTAGGATAACATACAGCCCTGCAAAATACTTGATCCCAGGGCAGTGAGGTTGAAGAGTTTTTCGAGGAAAACAGTCGTATAGGGTAGAGCACCAGTATTTGATACTTTGCTCTAGACGAATGAGGATGTGAATAGATACAATAAACCTCGCCAGTTATCAGTGTTTCATTTCAATAGCTGTGTTGCTGCTGTTTATCTTTGATAATAATTTGGGTTAGCTCTACCTGAAGCTAACAATTCACTGTTTGCATAACAAGCTTGTGTTTGCATCTTTGATAACTAGTTACTTTTTATTATGAACATTTCTGCTTAGATGAGCTGACATGGTTTAAGCTGCTTTGGAAGATTCTTGTAGCCTCAGACACTTAAAGGAACCATCATTAGACGGTACACCTGGTATTTTGTTCATAAGAGCTTTCAGTAACTTTTCTGTAAATGTAGCATCTAGGATTTTGCTACTTTTATCTGTGATGTGAAAGCATAAACTTCTTTCTGCGATGAGGGATTCTAGGACAGGTCTGTGAAAGAGAAGCTCACTTTGTCTGGAGGTGGTCTGGCGTTAGGAGGAAGTATTGAGCTGTTTTAGAGAACCAGTTCAAATCTCTGTTTTCCCTGCGGAACATTGTAGCTAGTCTTTATTGACTCCGCTAATAGAAACATATCTGACACTTTTATTGCTATAAAAGGATATTACTATCCTTTTCTTAATTTTCAGGTGTTATTTTATTATTAGCAATTACTTTGCCTGCAGTGATGCTGAGAAGTGTTGGGAGGAATACTGAAATTCTGAGTTCAGAGCAGACAGAGAAGGGTTGTCCCGCCCCCCTTTGAAATAAGGATATAAAGTTTATCATGAGGAACATTTCAGTTATTTGGTGTGTTTTTATAAAAGCAAACTTAGTGATATTCTTGGAGGTAAAAATTTGAATGATTATTTATGATGGAAGACACTGAAACAAAAGCTTTTCCGTAATGTAATATTAAAAGAAAATAGTGTGGAGGGAGATAGAGGACTTTGAATCTAAGCCCCCTGATGTGGTAGTTTGTGATACACCTGCTGGGTTGTGCAGGCTGTCCTCTGCTTTCTGGGACCTGGTAAACAGGGAGGAGGCTGCAGGCTGGGTGGTTCGTTGTTGATGGACTGCAGCTCCTGGCTCGCTCCTTGCCATGTGACGGTGTTCCCAGGGCTGTGCTGGGCGGTGGCGTAAGGCCGTGCCCATTTGGTGGTAGGAAGCGGTGCCATGTGGCTTCTGTGTTTTGATCATCTGTCTCATAGTTCCCCAGGCCAAGAAGCAGCCTTGCAAACGAAGGGGGAAGAGGCAGGAAAGAGCTTTTTTGGTTTTTTTCCTGTTTTCTCTATGCTCTTAGATTACATTAGTAGATATAGACAGTGTTGTTGACCAAACTTCACTGCTAGTGGTAATGATAATGCAGATATTGAATAACTTGTGTGTACATTGCACTGTTGGCCAATACAATGTAAATGTGGTTACAACACTTGTTTCCCGTAAGTTTTCTACTTGATCCGACCTCACATTTCTGTCAATGGCACAGTCTCTGCACTGTGGGATAAGCTGTCTTGTGTTAATATGATGCCCTCAAGCTCCTTTACTAAAGCAAGAAAATGTATACATTCGTGTCAACGTATTTTCCCGTTATTTTTGCGTGGGATGTAATGCAAGAATTGTTTTTTTGTTTCAAAACTAATAAAGGTTTTTGTGGCATTTTATCTGGACAGGAGGGGAAAGCAGACAAATGCTTGTGAGTGCCCCATGGCTGCAGCTGCCTCAGCTCATTCGTTTATTGCCTATTGTAACTCGGAAGCATTCTTTAGGTAAGAAAGCTGCTTCAGTGTATGTCATGCAGTTCATAAACTTACATTTAATACCCTTTTGTGTCAAATCTTTAAATTGCATCTGTGTTTTGCGCTCTCAATTATAATGTTATTTATGTGTTCTGTGTACATGCGTGGCTATAAACCTACCTTTTATGTGTTAGAAACTGACAGCACTTCTGCAAATGAATTTTATGTGCCATGCAGAGTTGGCAAAGGGACGGTCTGCTCACTTCACAGAAGACTATGTAATACTTGTAGATTGTCTGTGCCATACAAGGCCACCATAAATCACAAACTTCTTCAGATGCCATCTACAAACAGAGTTACTAATGCATATCAACTTTCTAATTATAGGCAAGCATGACTGTGCAGCTCTTAAATTTTCTGATGTGTGAGCTGAGCAACAACATTACTTGTGCAGATTTCAGTGCCTAAGTTTGATTTTACTCAGGAGACAGGGGCTGCTTCTCTTGTTGTATTTATAATTAATATATGTAAAACTGTGTTAAACTTTACGACTATAAAGCTGATATTAGCTGGGTAGTTTTTCAAAAGATGATGGTGTAACCTGAGAGAATCTAAAGCTTCATGTCTCTCATCGTTCCAAAGAAAAAGAAAGTTCAGCATTACAAGGTTTCTAAGGATGTTATTACTGCTTGAATACAATACTTTGTAAACATCCTGAGTGTGTAGTGTAGTTCAGTTTTTAAAACTACTTTTTATTTTCAAATGTGTCATAATTTAGTAAGATGTATGTTGCTGTTTCTATAGCTTTCCATTAAAGCATCTTGAAATAATGTAAAATGGGTAACCGAATTTGGAGGTTTTGGGTATACTTTCTTAGAGCAGACCAAGATACTCTTTCATACTAAGATACAGGGCAATTTTTTTGTGTTAGTGTATGGGAGCATATCTGTACATCATCAGTATCTTTTTTTCCAGATAGAGTTTAATTAGCCAAAATAGTTAGTTTACTGCCAAGATTGTCATGATGCAGTAAACACGCTTTTGGAGTAAAAGTGAGTAACGTTTAAAGGCAAGAGTTCTCAAATTTTAAAATACCAGAAATCATATCTTGAAGTAGAACTATTTTGATTCATGTGGTTTTGTTATACATAAAGCTGAAATTAACATTTGTTATCCAGGTTTGTAACTTCTTTAAGTAATACTCAGGAATCAGAGGTTTATCCATGTTGCATTAGGGTACTGATGCAACTAAAATTGTCGATAATACAAAATGTAGACTTGTGCCAACACTTACACCTTCCCATTAGTTAAATGATAGTTTTTAGGTAACGTTTGGTAGAACTAATTTGCTTATCACGTTCCGTTGTTCTACTTTCACATCTGCCCTGAAGTGTGGAGTGTACTGTTCCTCTCAGTCTTTGTTCCAAAACTGAGTTTAGTCCCTCCAGTGGGTCTCCCAGACGTTGCAGAACAGTTTTTCTTTGGTCGGTGGCTTCACAGGTCAGTTCATCTTCTGGGACTCGTCCCTGCCTTCTGGTTAAGGAGTCCATGCACATGTACAGGATGACTCAACAGTGGGATGGATGTTCAGATACCAGAAGGGTGCTGGTAACTTGACAGGAACTTCCACATTCTTTGGAGGTATGTGTGCATGTAAACCTCTCATTGAATGCTACCTGGATTATATCACATGGAACTATAATGTAGTCAACTTCAGTTGTGTTTTAAAATGTGTACTGTTCATAGCTTAAGGATTCAGAACGAAAGAAGCATTCACATTTCCACAGTAAATATTAGGGCCTTGTGTTTGGTAAAAACTTTGTGATGTATAACCAGTGGAACCTTTTTCTGGCTTTGCATCCAACAGTGAGCAGTATAACGTAATTTTCCTAGATTTAAAATACCGCAAGATAGAATACTAAACATAGAAATTCTAGAGTTACTAGTTTTCAAGGGATGTAGCAAAAGGAACAAGTTATGGCCACGTTCCATCAGCCAAAGCGTAGATGCTCCGTACACCATACATACCTTGTCACATCTCCTCATGCGTCTGGACTGGATAAGCGGCGTCTGGTCTGTAGCCTGTCCTGTGGTTTAGGAGAATGTCCTTTCTGGTAGTTCTTGGATGCTAAAACTTCTTTGTGGGAACCAAAACAGCACCCATGAAGCTCAGATAAGTTTCACATAAAGTTAAAATTTCCATTTTTTTCCGAAACTTGCATTTTGCAGAGATGCTGCTGATTTGCATGAGAATAACAAAATCATAGAGAAGCTTCTCAGACAACAACCTTTGTTTAATTTAATTTTTTGTTCTGGACTTTGGTTTTAGGAAACAGCTACGTTTGTAATTTCTCCCAAGGAGGGAGGAAAATAAATAAAAAAAAGAGCAGGTAATTTGACTCAAGCTAAACTTAGCAAGGGTATGAGCAACTGGAAGAGAGAGTTATGTAATCGTTAATTACTACATCCACACATAATGCTTTGGAATGCCCATTCATTGTGTGACTTAAAGCACTCAGAAACCATAAAACATGGTCATGCAGATGATAATTTGATAAAATGGTCTAGTAGCAAAATGTTTATTCATGGGGATCTTGCATCTTCATTACACTGGTAACATTATTGTGTTGTTTAGAAACACACTTTTAGCTTTGTTTTGGAGTGGGATGTGTTGTAATATGTATCTTGTTCTTCATTCTCTTTGACTTGCCTTTTCCTGCTTGTTAGTGTAAGGCACGTGTCTATTCAGGGAAGAAATTCTTTTATTAAATATAGTTTAGAGTTTTGCTAGCTTGTCATGCTGTGTGTATTACGTATCGCTATCATAAATGGAACTTTAAATAGACTGAAAATTTCTAAAGACTGCTAGAATAAGTTCTTTGGTGGTCAAGACCGTTTGTCAGGAGGACAAACAGTAGTGAAGCTCATCATACAAACAGCTCTTGATTAATTGGCTAGGTTGTTCTTTCCCACTTCTTGAAGGATGGACACACTTTCTTTCCATAAAAATGGAATTACACTTGGTGCGTCAGACACCTTGTCAACCATACAGATCAGGTTTTATAAGTTAGGGAAAACGTCAGATAAGTTTTTGATGAGATAATCTGTGTTTTGGGAGCTGTTTCTGGATTTGGGGTTCCCCTCTGCCATAATGAAGATACTTGGAAAAATTCCAGTCCAGAGAAGCATGCTGGGAGGGTTGCCATGGAAGATTGTTGAGTAAAACTAGACAACACGTTCTGTTTGTTCTTGAAGAACGCGTGGTGGCTTTGAAAATTTTAGCTTCAGACTGGGTGGGAAGTGATAAGGTCTGGCCGAGCATCTAATTGGTAAGACATTTGAGAAGGGGCCTCAGCCCACTGTAAAGTGAAGTGGCGCTTGAAACATTTAAGGCAGTTGTTGAGAATTGACTGAAAACCAGAGTTTGGTCTAGGATGGGCTTGAGTAGATGGTACCACTTCGGCGTGTGAGAGCAGAGCTTTTCCTTACCCTGCTCCTTTCCGAGCTCTGGTTCATGTGGCAAACATCCCTCAGTACAGTAGGCTCACACAGGTTGCTGTCTGCTGGAGTCACTGTCCTTTTCTCTTGCTGAAAAAGAGCCTGTGAACCTCACTTGCTTTGCCCTGTTTTAGTAAGTGGCCTCTGAAGTTTTTTGTTGTGAGTTGCACAAATGTTTTTTCCTCTGCCTGGCATGATTTGAAAAAAAAAAAAAAAAATCAAAAAAAACAACAAACCAAAGCAGTAGGGGAGGTGGCAAAGCTTTTGAATCCGACTCCTCTGAACACATCTGTTCCAAGTTCATCGTTGTTTAAAAAATGAGTTTATGAATTGGGTTCGGTAGTTGATAAAATTATTTTAGAAATCATGAGTAGATTTTATAGCTTGTCTGCTGAGTTTAAACTTAAACATACATAATTTGCTACTGTTAAACTGAATTACTGTTAAATACTTTTTTTTTCCTACAATGTGCTTTATATATTATGAAGTACTGACACATGAAACTATACTTGGTAAATTAACAAACCCAAATTGTCCAGATTCAAATCAAGTCATATAAAATAAAAGGTACCAAGAAAGGTCGTCGCTAATGTCTGTGCACTGGATATTGATATATGGCCATACCTTTTTTCATAGTAACGTGCTGTATTTAAATTTTACTAACTTGTTATCTCTTACTGTGTTTTTGCTGCCTGCTCTCCCTTCTTCCCCTAATGTTCTGTATTTTTCTAGAGACCTACTGTATGTGAGACCTTTCAGGAAACTGGGCAGTTTCAGTACATCGGCTCATTCCAGTATCTGAAGCTTTCACGATGAAGAGGGCTAGGCAGAAAGCTGTGATTGAAAATGAAGCTCCTCAAACATCACAGAAAAGCAAAAAACAGAAAACTTGTTTATATGGCTCAGTGTTTGGAGGATCTGACTTGCACGCCTCAGTGGACTGGGGAAGCCTTCCACACCATCTTATTCTGCGTATTTTTCAGTTTCTACCTTTAGTAGATCGAGCCAGGGCATCTTCTGTTTGCCGAAGGTGGAATGAAATTTTTCACATCCCAGATCTCTGGAGGAGATTTGAATTTGAACTTAGCCAGCCAGCTACTTCCTACTTAAAGTCTACACATCCTGATCTCATTCAGCAGATTATCAAGAGGCATGCTGATCATCTGCAGTACGTCAGCTTCAAGGTGAGTCTTGGATGAATGGAGGCTGGTTTTGTCAGGTCACATGCAGCTTCTCTGTGTCACTTGGCTCACGTGTTGTACCTGGGAAGTCTTATGTTTAAAAATGCAACTACTGCAATGATTTATTTCCATGCATGCATGCAGCTTCCTTCCATTTTCTACACTCTGATCTCTACAAAGCGTAAAAACGGCTGGCGTCAGGCAGGGCAGTGCTGCAGACTGAATGTTATGTTTTCAGAATACGCAGAGTATGTAGTTTCTGTGAATCAGAGTTAGTGACAGTCTTGAGTACTCAGGAGATTATTATGCAGATAAATATTTCTTCCACATAGAAGCATTTGAAGAAATAAATTTGTCTTGTGTGTATAATTTATTTGCAAAATAAGGCTATACAGTGAAGAATGTCTTGAAATTTTAAAACCTGGCTTTAAAAAGGTATGAGTAAGGGAGGAAGATTCATTACCTGTATATAATAAGGGCTGTGTTTGTCATTTCAAGATCGTATAAATTTGGACTTTTTCATTTGAATACTTGGTACAGTTCACTGAGAAGATCATAGTTGGAATTACAGGTGCTTTCTTCACTTTTGGCAGTCAGCTCTCCTTAGAGGAGTCATAGTTCTAAGCTATGAAGGAAAAGCAGAAGAAAAGAATGATGTTAAAACTAGGATGAAAATCAGAAGCTTCTTTTTCTGAGCACTGGTAGCAGTTTTACATTGGAGATACCATGATTTGGTTGCACAGCAGTTCATGGATAATCAGTTAATAAATAGCTGTAACTTCTGCACTTCGTATAACTGATTATGTCTAAATGCAACTTTTATGCATTTTCAGCTAAGCACTGGTAGCAGTTTTACATTGGAGATACCGTGATTTGGTTGCACAGCAGTTCATGGATACTCAATAAATAGCTGTAACTTCTGCACTTTGTATAACTGATTATGTCTTAATGCAACTTTTATGCATTTTCAGCCTCTCTTTTATGATCTCAGCTACTACAGAGGAGGAAGGTGAGATGAAATAGTGATTTCTCTAAAATTTAGTTGAGAATCAGTTCATTATTCAAGATGCAAAAGTGGTGTCCCTGCAGGTAAAATTGATTAGTTTGCTGGAGTGTATCTAGGCTTTATCAAGACTTTTTCCTGCCTAAGAGTCTGGAATTGACATTTTAAAAAAAAGATACATGCATACCACGGCGTATCATAACACCAGTACTAATTACAGTTGTTTAGGAAGGAATTTGAAGAGAAGGCTTAGGCTTCATCTCTCTGTTCATACTAGACATACCCAGCAGTCATATTCAGGAAAGTTTTCTACTATAACTTTCCTGAACTCTTTTCGTGTCTTGAAATCTCTGACTAGACATACCCAGCAGTCATATTCAGGAAAATTTTCTACTATAACTTTCCTGAACTCTTTTCATGTCTTGAAATCTCTAATTAATGTTGTGCTTTGTCCTTGTGGTAAATGTAGTCTGGTGCAGTACCGCTGAGTGGGTGTGGAACTTTCAGTCTTGGATATCCATGATGCTGTTCTCTAAATAATAATAAATAATTACTTGTTATTTTTAAATGGCTTTTATAGGTTGATAGTAGTACTGAGTCAGCAGAAGCAGCCTGTAACATCCTTTCTCAGTTGGTCAACTGTTCTATCAAGACACTGGGTTTGATTTCTACAGCAAAACCAAGCTTCATGAATGTCTCTAAGGTAATGTTCTCTGAACTGTAACTAAAGTGCCTTAATTCACTCTTAAACTACTTTAGCTTTCTTACTGTGTTCTTATACAGTTGATGGTAACTTTTATGAAACAGTCTGTATTGATATATCTTTTAATTTGTGGCATCCGTTAATATTAGGAAAATAATTGAACATTGATTTCATTCATTAAATTTAGTAGTGTTAATACTTTGTCATGTAGAGATGGGGAATAACTTAGAAGGCTTGAGTTTCCTCGTTTCTAGATTGAAAGATACAATGACCACGTGCTGCAGCATACTGTTAAAATATTTGGGAGGTTTTTTTTTCTTCAACTTTATAGGTCACAGCAGAGTTACTTTCTGGAAAATTAAATTAATGCAATTTCCTTTTCCGCAGATAAATTCTAGATACTTCAGGCTTATCGTTATGGCCACTTATCCCTGTTTTATTA